TTTTTGCGTGGGTTGTCGTCATCGTTCGCCCCAGAGCTGCCCCCGCCCTACCGCTCGGCAGGTTCCCGAAGCTACCCCCAACAAGGGATGAACAGCAGGAAGCTTCTTAAAATCAGTGCTGTAGAACCCCTAAAGGTTTTAGGGTTTATAGTACCCCGCAATCCCCCTCCGCGCAAATTTTCAACAGTTGCGAGGGCTCAGATAAGACTACACCTTCCATCCTGAACCCTGCCAATGAAAATGACCCAAACATAAACGCGGGCAAATGTCGTAGCGCACCTGAACGCTACCTAAATGTAAATCCGCGGAATCAGTCTCGGTGGCGCTCTAGTCGACGCTTTTTGCATTGGCCTTTCCTTCCCTCAACCTGAACAGCCCGGAAACATGGTTTGGAGCTCGGCTCAGGGAGAAATAATTGGGATAACAAGCCTCGTCACCACAATCATCAGCACAATGAGAAGTAAAGATTGGTGCCCATGTGGAGTTCATGTTTCGTTGGGGAATTCAAAGTAGGAAAAGGCCTTCTATGAGGATATACAAGGCTTTATTGCTTAGGGGTTCAGGGTTTTAGAGTTTGGTTTGGGGGGAGCCATGACCCGAGTCCTCCCTGTATCAGCTGACGCATTCGCTGCTCCTGTTTTGCCAGCCTCCTGCTTGGTCAATTTTGTGTTTTGGGGTGTTTTCAAGGGGACAGCTTAGCTTCGGGAGAAACTACCAAACCTAACCCCCAAAGTTTAAACTGCAAATTTAGAACTGTAAACCTTAAAAAAAAGCTGAACCCTAAGCTAGTACTTAGAGGCCCTGAGGCATCCAACTTGCTGTCAAGCAGCAAGGAGCTTTACCAAAACTCTGGCGAGCTCAGGGTCCTGGTAAAAGGCAAAACCAAGGGTTTAGGGTTTAGGACCCTGCTAAGAAACAAGCTAAGCTGGGAAGAGCACTTTAGCGTTGCATGTTTGATGCTCAGTGTTAGGGGCTTGGGGTATGGGTTCAGCGGCTTGGGTTTGATTAGGCTTAAAGGGCAAATCAAGTTTGGGACTTTTTTGCATAAAGCAAACATCGCAAAAATGTCCTGAAACCCTAAGCCCTGCCGAGGGTCCTTCGTGATAATTTCATCCAACTCCTTCGACTGATCCTCCAGGATTGAGTTTGGGAGCTTAGTGTTTCAGTGGAGGTTGCAGTCTTGGGTTAAGTCAAGGTTTACGATTTCAATTTTGGGCCTACACCCTACAAACTAAAATCCTAAACCCTAAGCCCTAATTTTTTGTTTATTTAGGGCCAATCCAAACCCTTCAGCTTTGCCTCTAAGACTTCGCAGATGTTCGCCCGGACCATGTCCAAGCATGCCTCGACTGGAAGAACATGGGCGGCAACAAAGCATGCCGGCCCTAAACCCTGAACTCCTCAACCTTATAGGGTTTAGGGTTTAGGGTTCAAGGGTTCAAGCGTTCGGGGGGTTTAGAGGTTTAGGCTCTAAGGGTGTTGGGGGTTTGGGATTTAGGTGTCTAGGGATTTAGGACCCTAAACCCTCATGTAGAAGCCTGAAAAGTTATCAATATCAGGGTCCCGGACTCCTTGTTTAGCTTTGATATGATTAGGGTACCCTTAGAACAACCTGGAGCTGACATATAGGTGGATTATCTAGAACCCTTCACTAGACTTTAGAAGGAAAGCTTCCTCTGGTTTGATTACTTAGTGTCTACCTAAACCCCAAAGTATGTAAAATAATAGCCCTAAACCCCTAATGATAGGCCAAAAGACCATTATTTTACATACTTTTGGGGTCCAGGTCTAGGGTTTAGGCTTAGGGGTCTTCTTGTATCCAGGGGTCGCTTGGAACAAAAACATACCTCCGCCCCCACTTCAGCCCCATGGTTTAGGGTTTAGGGTTGGGTTTAGGGTTTAGGGGGGGTTCGATTATTTTTTCATGGGATGCCAAGGAGTCCTTTGGACAACATGGCTCCTTATTCTGGTAATCTTGATAGCTGAAACCCTAAAACCTTTCTCCCCGAGGACATGTGAGTTGAGATTGGAGAGTTACCCTTTAGCCAGATAACTCGGAAGCCCAAAGCACCTAATTAACCCACAGCCAGGGGCTCAAACAAATCTTCCCTAAGCCCTAAACGCCCAAACGTCAACCCTGATGTGAGGGATTCTGAAATTTCAACTATCCACCTCTAAGAGAATAACTTAGGTGGACCCCCGCCCAGTGCTAGTGACTGTAAGGGGAAATGGTGTGCGCATTAGGGTCCTTTTACATGCGCATTGCACGACTATTGCAGGGTGGGGGGTCCACCTTTAGAATATCTCCGAGTAAGTCTGGTTCAAGCAGAAACACAACTTGCTCAAAACTCAGGAACACGTGCACAACCTTCCTACAGCCTGAAACCAACCCGGATGAGTAGTTAACGCAGCATCTATGCTAGACAAGGTTCATGAGTACTCTGAAGCCGTTTTAACAGTAGAGTCTCACAAACTGGAGGAATCCATCAAAGAACTTGGAGGGTCAGGGATTTTCTTGTAATCAACTGGGTGAGTAAGGAGTAAGGGGCATAACTGTGGTTACTACATGGCTTTCGGAGGTTATAACATACTTACCATGTGCCCCCTTATCCAGCAAAGACGCCTCTTCTAACCGGCCTCCGCTGCCGACGAGGTGGCCAAGAAATTTCAGCACGTTCTCTGAGGACAGCTGCTTCATGAGCTCCTACTTAGGATATAGGGTTGAGGCTAAGCAGGCTTCAGGGCCTATATGAGGCTTTTACAAGTCCCTATAATAGCACATAGCGGGGCTCCATTCTGGGGTATTTATGGAAATGAAAATGATTCAATTGGGGTAGGTTAGAAAGGAATACGTATATGATGGGTAGGGTGTACGGCATTTATGGCGGCATTTACAGCTGAGGAGGTTCGGGATGGAGGGCTTGAAGATTGGCAGGGGGGTTCTGTAGAACGTGAGGGTTCAGGGGTCAAGAGTTTAGGGTCTGGGGTTTACTGGTGTCTCCAATTACCTACAGCTTTCGCCTGGCAAGTATGTAGCCAATGCATGAGTAAGCGATGAGTAAACGGACTTCCACGTAGCTTTTAGGTCTCTAGGAAGAAAAAAATTCAACCAAATCCTAACCCAGCGGCTGTTTCTGTGCGGATCATCAAATCCTTCTGCTGGTAACGATCCGCCAGCTTGCGGACATGAAAGTAATAGCTGTAATCACCAGGGTCCTCGGGGTGAACGAAGGTGTCCGACATGATGAAACGCAGCAAGGCTGTCATGGCCTTGCAGTTGATGGTGGAATCTTTGCTCAAATCCACCTCGTTCGTCTGTCCTTCTTTGAGCTTCGGCTCCGTGAGCCTCGGAGCGTGCCATCAGAACACGCTTGTCCAGGAACAAGCATGGCCCAGTGGAAAGCCGGAAAGTCACTTGCGTAAGCTGCTGAGTGAAGTCCACGTTGGACAGCAAGCTTGCTGCCATGTCTGCAGAAGCTGGCACCATCATTTTTGCACGTACATTCAAAGTCAACTCTGGCTTTCTGTCAAAGTCAATGGTATACTCTGGGCTGAACTCTCCCCCGCGGCAATCTCCTCCGTCCTTACTTTCGAAGTCTGTTCGACTTTCCATAATGCACCCCGTAAAATTACCCTCTTCTTTGAGCACAATTTGCCAATCTGCTTGCTCACACGTCCAAGACTGTTCTTCGCAGCCGCAAGGAGGGAACATCTGCACATATGCTTCTACATGGCCAAAGGCAGACCGGCACGGATAAAAATGCAGCTGTACACGCCATCCATCTGATGGGCCGAATATGTCACTTGCGACGTACTCGCCATGCTCGAAGTCGCGCAAATCCTTAGGTTCACCCATAGACTCACTCTGCATGGCAGATTCCTCACTTTGTCGGGGAATGGTAAATCGAGACTGGATCTCGATGGTTCCTCTCCAACAATGCACCCTAAACCCTAAACCCTATAAACCCTCAACCCTATGTAGCCTAAATACTATCTGAGCGCGTACACTTGCGGACGCGTGGCCTTCACTGCCATAGTCATCTCCTGGTTGGGTCCCTTTTTCTGAGGTTGCTAAGGAGCTTAAATAATTAAAGCTACCAAAAGATTGGTATTTACCATGAATAGGGTTTCCTTCCCATAGGAACTTAATTCAAGTTCCTTAGCAGCAAGCAGTTTTTCCAGTGCGAGCGTATGGGAATGTGTCGGCTAGGGTTTAAGGCTTTTTGGGCGTTTCAGGGTCGGGCTTAGAGATTAGGGCTTCTAAACGAGGGCAGCCTTTGCTAGGGCCAACTAAAGGAGATGGCTTTTGTCTCCTGGTTAACTATGCAGGCTGGGTAGATGCGCGCAGATGGCCCCTTAAGAGCTCCACTTCTTCTGGCACAACACACCCAAAGACAAGGATGGCAAGGTGCAGTGGCAGGCGGCAGGAGGGACCGCCGGTGTTTCGGGGCGTGCTTTGCTTATGTTCTCTGCTAGGAGTTTCCGATGGGGGTAATTTATATAAAGGGTATATAAACGGGATAGAGGGACCATGGGGAGTGATATAACAGGTCTACAAAGCTTTCGTAAAGTCCCTACATGGTAGCTCCCGTCTTGCAATTGCCTTAGACTGTAGTATTCATTGGCGATGCATCATGCGGGTCCGGATTAGGAGTTGTGAGTTTTTGAAAAACTCGCATGGATATATAAACACGCATATACAGACATACATATGTAGATGTATATTCCCCCCCCCCCTCCCCCCCAAAAAAAACATTTTGACATTC